CAGAGTCAGGTAAAATTTTTCTAATTTTTCATAGAGAAATTTCTCTGTGATCATCTAGAGAAATTTTGAAATTTCTTTGAGTCGGACAAAATTTTTCTAAGTCGAATTTTCTTTGTAAAAATGTTGAGAGACCTTACCTAATAAAAAAATATATATCTTAAACCTCCCGTACTACACAAAATTAAAAAGTAATGTTTCACTAATTTTCTCTATATCTTATTTACATTTAACTAACTTTTTATTATTATTATTATTATTTTCAAATCTTTATTCAAATAGATCAACCAAACATAGTGCCAATAAGATTGGTAATTTTCTTGAGCTCTGTTCCATTGTGGCGTCAATGGTTGTTATTGCACTTGCACATATGATAAGCGAAGATATTGTTTGTTCATTTGAATAAAATGATTATTTTACTAAAATATTTATTTTTATACTCGATTGATTTAGAAAAAGGAAAATGTTAATAAGTTAATGAAAAATATTTGTTAGCTTGAATTTGTGTGGCCTGAATGGCTTGAATGTATTAAAACGATGTTATTTTACCCCCAAAACGATGTCTTAAAATGATGTCGTTTTGAAGCATTCGAGCCATTTGGACCATGAAAATTCAAGTTATCAAGCATTGTTGTTAATATTGAAATGGTAAGGAAAAATATACAAAAAATTACAAAGTGTTTTAAAATTTATAAAAATATATATTAAATTTAATAATAAATGTATCAAAATCTATATATTTTTTGTCTTTTTCTTGTACCATAGGACAGCTGTTAACAAGACCCTATTTGATTTAATGGAATAAAATGAAATAGTTAGGCCTTCCTACCTTCCTATGTTTGGATCATAAGTAGGAATTTTAAAAGGAAAAAGAAAAAATGTAAGTAAAATGTAAATGACATAGAGTTGTATTTCAATAACATTTCATCCACCTTTTTTTTTAACCTTTTTAAATGTCTACTCAAATTCATAATCTAAACATAGTCTAATGAAATGATATTATGCTATGTTCGGATTATGAATTTGTGTAGAAATTTTGAAAGGTAAAAGGAAAATGTAGATGAGATGTAACTATTTCTTTTATATTTTATTTACCTTTTTTGCTTTGCTTTTCAAATTTCTACTGAAATTTATATCCAAACACATGAACTTAAGTTCTAATTATTTCATTTCAGTCCACTAAACCAAATAAAATTAAATGTTTTGATAACAAATGAGATTTTTACCAGCTGGTCCCAATAATTGAATGTATTACTCATTAAACCCTAAGTTTCTATTTCATGTACCAAGAAGTCCTGTTGTATTTTTTTTATTCCAATTTTGCCCCTGCTACCAGTTGGTAAAAATTCCTATTTAAATCATCCCAAACATTTTCTAAATCTTTCATTGTTTATAATATTTATTACTCATTAATTTTTTCAATTTTTATTAATTTCTCTCTTGATTATTTTTTCAAAACTTTTCTTCTTTCTCATATATATATATATATATATATATCTCCCTCTAGAAAATACCACCATTGTAGCCATAGCCATGGCCATCCACCCGCAACCACTATCGTCGTCCGTCATTAACCACAGCCACCTCCACCGGCCACTACCACCACCTTCGCCGACCATTACTACCACCATTGTTCACCAACCATCTCTACCGTCGCCGACTTATACTTCGCCATCTCTTAACCGTTTGACTCGCTCGCCTAACATTGTCACCTTCCTTCCTCTTTGCCATTACCGTTGCTCTTTCTCTATCCTCCATCCTTCATTTGCCATTACCGTCGGTTCTTCTTCAATTAGCGATCCACCATCTTCAACGTCAAATTTCACCAATGGCTTCAAATCTAGTTATTTTCAATGCCGATCTACCATCTTCGGCACCAATTTGGTACTTTACATTGTCGCTGATGAGATCGAGACTCTTTCTACAGTGCGTTGGTAAAGATCTACATTTGTAAAATATGTTGAACTAATCTGATGAATTTATCACTAATTTGTTTAATATGTTGTGGACTGCTGTTGTTGGAATTTTGATATTAATACAATGATAAATTTATCACTAATTTTTGTTCATTTTATATTTATCACCTCCCTCTTCCTTACTCCCTCTCTTTCTTTATATTTCTTTTAAACCAAATCTGCTATATCAGTGATAAATGCATCAATGATATATTTTTTTGAATTTTGTGTTGATTTGTGACGATGATGATGAGATTTTTTTTTTTTTTGGTATTTTTTTAACAAACAACTAGTGAGAAATTTATCAGTGAATATGTTTATCACTGCTAAATTTGTTACTGAACATGTCTTTGAATCTTGTGGTAATTTGTGACGATGATGATGAGATTTTCTTTTTGTAATTTTTTAACAAACAGTCAGTGATAAATTTATCACTGAATGTGTCTATTAGTGATAAATTTATTACTGAGTATGTCTTTGAATCTTATATTGATTTGTGATTATGAAGACGAGATTTTCTTTTTTCTTTTTCTTTTTCTTTAATTTTTAACAAACAGATAGTGATAAATTTATTATTGAATATGTCAATCATAAATTTTTTTATTGGATTTGTCTTTGAATCTTTGTGTTAATCTGTAAATGTAAAGAATTATTTTCTAGTAATGACTCCTTATCCCCTTCTTTCATTTTCTTCATCCTTATTCTTCTCTTTTTCTTTTGTTGTCAGCATGGCGGTATTGACATGGTGGAAATGAAAAATGGTCAAAAAAAAATATTGTCAAAGGTCGAAAATGGTCTTCAGTGGCCACTTGAGAGAGAGAGAGAGAGAGAGTATGTGGAACGGTTGAGCGATTTCTACATGTGGACTAAATGTCAAGGGTAAAAGGGAAAGATGTACTAAACTATTTTGAGTCAGGACCTAATAGGAATTAAATCAAGTTTAAAAGACTAGCTCGTAACTCCTCCATAACAAATCCTGTTTTTTTAATTCAATATTCAAAGTCCAAATGAATTTTTGTATTTTCATAAAAAATCCCCTTTTTTAATTCAATATTGAGCTTCCAAATGGATTTTTTGATTTGTCATATATGACTAGTCTACTAATTAAAGGGTTTGGATATGCATTGTTGTGTTGACTTTTGGGCCTATTTTGAAGACCACATAAATAATTCGAACGGTTTATCTTTTAGATTTATTTTAGAATTCATTTATATAATTTAAATGATTTATTTTTTAGAATATGTAGAGAGAAGAATAAGTTTGTAAAAAATAAAGTTGGTCGTACATCGGTATTTCTATCATAAAATCATATTACATCTAAAAAAATAAAATAAAATAAATATATAAAAAAAAAGAATAGTAGAATATAGATGTAATTTGATGAAAGTGATATCGATATCCGATCAATTTAATTTTATTCAAGTATGTTTTAGTCGATAAAATAAGAATGATTTAGATAATCTAAATGAGTCCCAAAATAAGCCCGGTACAACAATTGTTGCTGTGCATTTCTAAATCCATCATTAACCCTATTTTTGATTCCATGAAAATTAACAAAAGCAGTCATATTATAAATTTAGAATTAATTATTTAAAAATTATTTAAAATTATTATGTGGTGATTCAAATTTATTTTATAATAATGATAGAGACTTCATTTTTTTGGAGACTCCGCAATTGTCAAAGTGATCCACACCATGTGGACCTATACATACATAAATAAGTCCCCTACATATATTTGTGAATTGTAGGTAGTCTCACTCATTTTCCTTTATTCTATATATAAATTTTGCACTACATAAATATAAATTCAATGTGAACCACGCAATTCCCATTCGGAACAAATTTGAGATACGGTTTATAGTCTTCTCTGGGTCGTCGTCTTCGCCAACTGGATGAGAGAGGAGAGAGAACCATGCAAGCTCTGCTTAGGCTTCAAGTAGCCCTAGTGTTCTCAGTCGTGGCTCACTTCTCTCTCCTCGCCAAATCTTCTTCTTGCTCCTCGCAGAAGTTTCAGATCATCAATGTCAAAAGCAGAGTAAACTCTCTAAATTCATCAAATTTGTCTCTCGTCTATCTATAAACATATATATATGTATATATATATCGCAACAGAACGAGTCCCTGTAGCAAATTGAGCTACAGATCTTACACTTTAGGCTTTGGTCTTTTAGATAGTATAATGGAATTTGGCTTTGTTTCTGAAATATAACCTTCCAGGTTCGTTTGGCCGCCAAGAAAATGGAGGAAAAGAAGAGAAACTGAATTTGTTTATCTCATGTTGTCAAAATTTCTCATTTTCCCCAATTTCTAGAAAATATACGATGAAATAAATCAAAGTGTAGTTTCAATGGTTACAGAGCTTGAACTCAAGTTTAAATGGTTACAGAGCTCGAATTTTGAATGTTTCGATTTTTCAGAAAGAAAGCTATTTCATCAACAATGCTAGGTAGCTCAAAATTTTGTGGCTCAAATCATTCAAAACGACGTCGTTTTGAGTGTAAATGAGTGTAAAACGACGTCGTTTTGACAGATTTGAGCCATTTGAGTCACAAAATTTTGAGTTACCAAACATTTTCTTTGGCCGCCAAGAAAATGGAGGAAAAGAAGAGAAACTGAATTTGTTTATCTCATGTAGTCTAAATTTCTCATTTTTCCCAGTTTCTAGAAAATATACGATGAAATAAATCAAAGTGTAGTTTCAATGGTTACAGAGCTTGAACTCAAGTTTAAATGGTTACAGAGCTCGAATTTTGAATATTTCGGTTTTTCAGAAAGAAAGCTATTTCATCAACAATGCTAGGTAGCTCAAAAGTTTGTGGCTCAAATCATTCAAAACGACGTCGTTTTGAGTGTAAATGAGTGTAAAACGACGTCGTTTTGACATATTTGAGCCATTTGAGTCACAAAATTTTGAGTTACCAAACATTTTTCTTATTTCAAAAGGTGTGCACATTTATAACAACCCTGCTAGGTAGTTCGAAAGATGAGAAGCTCGAGTGGCCTAAAATCCAAAACGATGCCATTTTGGTTTTTTTTTTTTAAAAAAAATTTGGTTTTTTTTTTTTTTAAAAAAAAAAAAAAAAACTCGAAGGTTCCAAAGAGAAGGAAAGAGAGGAAGAGCAGAGAGATTCAAACCCAAAATTCAAAACCAATCAGACAAATCAAACCCAAAACTCAAAATCAAAAATCAAATCCACAAATTAAACCCACAAATTAAAACCAAAAATCAAACCCAAAGAGATTTAAATCAAAATAAAAAATCAAACCCAGAGATATTCATATCAAAACTGTGTGTGTGGCAGAAAGATGAGATGAGATGAGAGAGAGCCATAATAATAGAGAGGGAGAGAGAGAGAGTTATCCATGCATTTAAGAAAGCGTGGCCGGCATTGATGGCCATTGAATGATTCACCACCCACCTTACCTAAACTTCATTAATAAGTGGCTCATTAATTTCCCTCACCTTTATCACTATCGTATTTGACCATAAGTGTCCATTTCATACACTCTCTCCTAACACACAGAAACACACAAGAGAAAGAGAGAAAAAGAGTCTCTTATGTGTGTATACAGATCTATTCCCCTACTCTGTTTTCAAAAGGAAAAAGAGAAGAAGGAAGCTAGAGAGGGGGAATAGATCTGTATACACACAGAGGAGACTCTTTTTCTCTCTTTCTCTTGTGTGTGTTTGTGTATTAGGAGGGAGTGCATGAAATGGACACTTATGGTCAAATACCACAATGATAGAGGTAAAAGAGATTTATGAGCCACTTATTAATAAAGTTTAGGTAAGGTGGGTGGTGAAGCATTCAATGGCCATCAATGCCGGCCATGCTTTCTTAAGTGTATGGATAACTCTCTCTCTCTCTCTATTATTATGGCTCTCTCTCATCTCATCTCTCTGCCATACACAGTTTTGATTTGAATATCTCTGGGTTTGATTTTTGATTTTGATTTAAATTTCTTTAGGTTTGATTTTTGGTTTTGATTTTGGGTTTTGAGTTTTGGGTTTGATTTGTCTGATTGGTTTTGATTTTTGATTTTTGGGTTTGAATCTCTCTGCTCTTCCTCTTCTCTCCTCTCCTCTCTTCTTCTTCTTCTTTTTTCCTTCTCTATGAAACCTACGAGTTTTTTTTTTTTTTTTTAAAATAAAAAAAAAAAAACCAAATGGCGTCGTTTTGGATTTCGGACACTCAAGCCTCCCATCTTTCAAGTTACCTAGGAGGGTTGTAATGAAAAACAATGTGCTGTAACTTCTTCCCAACTGTGAATTCTCCCAAATTTCAACAAAAAAAGGAATTTTTTTTCTTGTAATCTATAGAAGAATGAGCCATTTTTTTTTTTTTGGGTATGATTTTCACAAATTCATAGATTATTACTATTCTTATTATTATTATTATTATTAGTATTATTCATGCAAGTTTGAGGTTCATAACTTGCAAATTCATTTCATGATAAATTTATTTGGAAAACTTAATTTGTATGCTTCTTTATTAAAAACATATATAGATCTAAGTTACTGGAGCAAGGGAATGGGAAAATTGCTAACTTCATTATAGTATCAACTTGGCTTTGAGTTTTTTGAGATCTAAAGGGAACACTAAATATGTGACTTTTCTAATATATTAAAAAAATGATGCTCACAAAAAGTAGGCTAAATTTTGCTTAAATATATAATAAAGTTTACAAAAAATTTAAAAATATATAAAATGTTCATCAATTTAAAAAAAAAATTAGTTGAATAGTTCCATAAAATCAATAAATAAATAAAAATAGAGAGGAAAAGAAAATACATTCACTATTTGTGATGGATGAAAGATGAGAGAAGATCAATAATGTTGAGTTTTAGGTCTCCAATTTCTCCTTCCTTGAACGTCAATTAATCGTTGAGTGACTATTATGTGTGGCTAGCTTTTGTTTTGCTCTAAGGCTTATGTTTTTTATTTATTTATTTATTTATTTATTTATTTCACCCAATTTTGATTGTCCGTCAAAGAGGCACGAACAAGAAGTACTATACATACATGGTTCCGCTACGTAGCTCGAAATTCCCGAGCTCAAAATTGCCCCGAACTCAAAACCATGTTGTTTTGAATTTTTTTTTTCTTCATCATTTCCATGACTGGCAGAAGAACAAAGAAGACGAAGAACAAGAAAAAAGAAAAAAGGAGAGGAGAGGAGCAGAGAGAGAGAGAATCATCGTCATCAACCAAAAATCAAACCCACCCAACACATTATCATCAACACAACAGAGAGAGGGAGAGAGAATCATCATCATCAACCAAACACATCATCATCATCACACATAAAGATCAACCAAAAGGCAAACCCACCATAGAGATCAATCAAAAAAAATGTAAAAATTTGAATTTTTTTTTAACACATCATCATCATACACAGATCGGAGGTAGAGATCAGAGATCGGAGGCTGCGCAGTGGAGATTGGAGGTGGCGATTGACGGGCAGTAGAGAAGAATAGGAGATCAGAGGCGGAGATCGACCCCCTTTCTCTCTCTCTCCTTCTTCCCATCTCTTCTCTCTCTCTCTCTCTCTCTCTTTCTCTTTCTCTTTCTCTTCCTCTTCTTCTCTCTTCTCTCTTCTCTCTCTGCTCTCTAAAAATGTATGGGTTAAAACTGAGAAGAATAAATGGAAGTGTATAAAGATATGTGGGTGTATATATAAGTCGGGCCATTTTCGAGCCACAGGATTCGAGCTACGAATCTTTTCTGATACACAATAGATTGGTTGGGCCTCAAATTTCTTTAGACTTTGCCCTAGTTTCAAAACATCACTTTTTAGTTTAAAAATTAAAAAATTATTAAAAAAAAAATCAAAAAATCAACAAATTATACACACACACAAAAAAAAAAGTTAAAGATTTTTTTTTCTCTTTATTTTTTCACATCTTTTTATAAAAAATTAAAAAGTTATCTCAACCATACTAATTTTTTTTTTATTACATAATTTAGCCAAAACTTTAAAAAATTACTAAAATAATCTATTCTCAAATGAGATCTAAATTTTAAAAGTTTTTTAAATATAGGCCTCAAATTTTTGGACTTTTTAAATTTAATTGGGCTATGTATTAAACAGAATTTTGTTGTGAATATATTGTTAGATTGGGCCTTGTATTTATTAAAAAGTTTAGATTGGGCCTTTTATTCATTTAGGCCTTTAAACTGGAATTGGGCATTTTTTTTTATACGCTAGTATAAAATTGCAAATATTTTTAGGGTCTTATTTTCAGCCTTTTTTTTGGAGGCCCAAAGCGGCTGCTTTGTTGACTTGCCCCCGTAGTCAGGCCTGCAAATTAGTATTCATTTTTCTTACGTTGTATTTGGTTGGAGGATTTGAGAAGAGATTTAAAAAGAGAAAAGGAAAAGTTAGATGAAATGTGAATAAAATATACTTACATTTCACACACATTTTCCCTTTCTCTTTGTAAATCTCTCTTCAAATCTCTCAACTAAACAAAACATTAGTTTTTCGTCCACAAGAATATATAATACACGTAGGGAAATGGGTATGGATTGAATCCTATTGATAATATGGTTTTCAGTTGCGTCAGAAGTTTGAAATCACAAATCTTGGTATACAGAACAAATTTAATTGGGCTATGATAGGACCTATTAAGACTTTATGAGAATTAAGCCTAATTACTATGACATATTGATAGGACTTATTAAATTAACCTAATAGTTAGACTTAATTATTATAAAGTCTTATTAAAAATATATTCTAATAAAATCGTCACTAAAAATAATTTTTTATAGCAATTTTTTTGCATATGACGTTAAAAATTGACAATTAGTATTTTTTTTTGTTACGATTTTTATAAATTATCACTAAAATTTATAATTAGTGACGTTTTTTCTGTGACGAATTGTTCAAAATATTGCTGAAAGTTTAAAATTAGTGATATTTTTTTGTGACGATTTGTTTTTAAACTATATCTAAAACTTATAATTAGTGACATTTTTTAATAGTATTTTATAAAAACGCCATTAATTATCATTGGATCTATCGAACAATATGTTCACTTAATAAGACCTACACGTAAGTCCTCAAACTATTTAACTACAAAAAATGCACTGCATTAATTTTTTTTCTTTTTTATTTTTGGAAAATAGTTTCATATTTTGGATATTGAACCCTTTCAGGCTAATAGATATAGATATATATATATATATATATCACATCTATCTGTTTATGTCGATTATTTATATCCAACCACTACAAGCTAATGAAATAAAATGCACTGCATTAATTTTTTTTTCTTTTTTATTTTTGGAAAATAGTTTCATATTTTGGATATTGAACCCTTTCAGGCTAATAGATATATATATATATATCACATCTATCTGTTTATGTCGATTATTTATATCCAACCACTACAAGCTAATGAAATAGGGAGTATATCATCATCACATTTACGTGTAGATTCTAGGAATATAGTTGTTGTTTCTTATTTTCTGTTATCAACTGTAGAGGAATTAGATTTCAATGTAATTCTTGAAATTTCAATTGCTACATTGTCCAGGATCCATATGCTTTTCAGACATGTCTCTGTTTTTTTTGTTTTTTTTGGAAGATTGGCTTCAACATTAGTGCAATTTATTACATCAAGCATAATCAACTCCATTTGTTTTGGAAAAAAATATTTTTCAAAAAATATTTTCTACATTTTCTGATATTTGGTACAACGAAAAACAAAAGTTATCAGAAAACATTCTTCATGGTCAATAGAAAACAAATATATTTAGACGGAAAATATTTTTCACTTTTAAAAGTCAGAAAACATTTTTCAAATTAAATTTTTATTAATGTTACCACCGCCATCACCTCCACTACCACACTACCACCACTACTATCCATCATTGCCGTTGCCGTCACCACCTCCATTGCCACCATACCACCACATCCACTACCATCTCCACCCTATCACTACCAACACTATCACTGTTGCCGCCACCACCACCCCAAAACCTCCAACCTCCACCTCCACCACCACTTCCACCACCTCCCCGTCCATCCTTTTGCTACCACTATTACCACCACTAATGCAACTATTAGTGTATTAATTTAAAAAACATCACCAAATATAGGAAAACGTTTTCTATAAAAAAAATATTTTGCACTGAAAACATACAAAGAGTAAATTGAGTATATTTCAATTGCCAAATTTCCTACTTTGATGCTTGTGGGAGTGATATATTTTCCAACTAGCAAAATCATTGGTCCTTAACGTACATATACATACATATATATAGACATACAATCCATCATTTCGGCAACACTTGTTTTGACGTATCAAAAATATTTTACTTATTTTTTGTTGTTTGGTTAAACAAAAAGTAAATAAAAAAAAATGTTTTTGCATCTATTTTTTAAAAATGACTTACCTTTAAAAATTCTCTAAGTGAATTTTCACGAAGTTAACTTTTACTCATTATCTTTTCAATACATTTATTATTTTTAAATAAATATCTTAACTCACTAAAATTCATAAATGACATTTATTGAATCAAAATTTCTCTTTTAGGCAATAAAATATTTTTTTTTTCAAATGTCAACCAAATGTCGAAAAACAAAAACAAAATTTTTTTTTTTGTGTAAAATTAATTTACATGAAAAATATTTTTTTGTGTAAAATATTTTAAGTCGAAATAAACAGAGCGGATTGCCATATATATTTCTGATCTGGCTAGGTTTTGCCAGGCTCATTGTGTTTTCTTGGCTTCTTCAAAGATTGCAAGTTCTTCATGATAATTATTGCTGTTTAGCTTGGTCTATCTGAGCTTTTGATTTTACTATTTCCCTCTATAGATTTTTTTCCCCTTTCCATCTGGATGAAAGAATGATTTCAGTTTCATGCAGTGATCAATTTGAAAAGAAAAAAAAAATAAAAAATGAGACAGTGAAAAATTTTCTTAATGTTAATGTTAAAAAAATCAATAACACTACAAATTCAAATTTATTGACCCATAATTTATTCCCCCCCCCTAAAAAAAAAGAATTTATAATTTAAACTTATTTTATTAATAAATTCTATGTTTTATTAATTTAATCTCTATTGGATAAATATATACGGAATAAATTATAGACAGATAAGAAGGACTTTATAACATTTTTGTAAAAAAATTCTATATACTGATGACTTTTTCTTTGCAACCAGAATTGGAAATAAAGCCGCAGTATGCCTTTGTTTGGGGGTTTAAAAGCCACTTTTGTCACTGGATATGGAATACTGTTGCAAGACTTCCTTTTTGAGACATCTGATGGTAGCCCTCTCACTTCAGCTTTTGGATGTCCTCTTGTTGAGACAGTGGCAGACGAGTTGACCATAAAAGTGAGTACATATATTTTTTCTACTTTCTATTTATTCCACTTTAGTTTCTCTACGTTGGACATTTCCCTGGAATGAAACATCATATAAATACTAAAACAGGAACTGTTGCTTTTAGGTGGTGTTGCCGGAGGGATTAAAAAACGGAAATTAACACTTCAGTCTATATTTGTTAAAAAAAATATATATATATATATATTTAAATTAGTGATAAATTTTAATAATCAAAAGAAAAAATTGTTAAAAAGTTCAAGGTAAGAAGAATGTAAGACATTAAGTTCAGTATATTATATATATATATATATATATTTATTAGAGAGATGTCCACTCTTTTTAAAATAATTTGGTGAGAAATCATTTTATTAGTTTTGAAGGATATTTTATTTCTAATTTTATCCCTGAATTTATCTATTGACTTTTTTTACTATCTGTTCAATTTTTTTTCTATTTATTCAAAATTTTTAACTATCTATTTAAATTTATATCAGTCTGTTTAAATTTTTTCTATCCGTCCAAAATTTATCTGTTCAATATTTTTATTTGTACAAATTTTCTATCCAAATTTTATCTATATAAATTTTTCATATTTGTACAATTTTTATCTGTCCAATTCACTAAGTTTATTTTTCATATTTGTTGAATATCACCAAGCTTATTGAACACATCTGTGCTAAATAATTATTTGTTGAACTTATCTGTGTGAAATTCTTATCAGAGAAAGAGAAATTGAATATATTGATCGCCCATTGAACAATCTGGGTATGAATAGATCAATTCAAAAACCATTAAAAGAACATATCTACACTACAAGCATGTATAGCCACAAAACACACATATCTAAATTTAAAGCATATATAACCACAACAATTACATTCCTCAGAATTAAGGGTTGATCTATGTGGATGCTCCTCTATAGAAAAGGATCACTTCTAATAGTTGAATGCAAAGATTTGCAAATCCGTTCCATAAAAGAGGATCACTTCTAATAGTTGAATTCAAAGATCTGCAAACCCGTTTCATAGAAAAAAAAAAAAAAAAAGATCCCGAACACCAAGAAAACTAAGGGCAAAAGGTAAAGCCACATGAGGAGCTCCACTATCTTCATCAGTACAACTTTCAGCAATCTCCGGAGATTGCGGACCAATAAAACTAGTAGATTCATTTCCAAAGCAAATTGCCATCGCCGACCACCTGCAAAGCCATGTTCATGTGTAGTTTTGGTGGAGAGAAAGAGAGAGAGAGAGAGATAATGAAAGATAGATAGAGAGATCAGTCGAGAGAGAGAGAGAGAGAGAGAGAGAGAGAGAGAGAGAGAGAGAGAGTGATGACAGCGACACAGTGGTGGTCTAGATCTAGGTTTAGGGTAGGCAGATCAAGGGTTAGGGTAAGTAGCGACGAAACCCTTGGGATCACCGGCGACGAATCTCTCATTCCCTCATTCGAATATCTGTCTCTCTCTCTCTCTCTCTGATGGTAGCTCCAACAGAGGTGCTGGAGTGAATGTATAAATTTGAGAAAATAAGTGATCAAGGCAGAATGAGAAGATAAGAAAATGAGAAGATGAATGATCTAAAGCAGATCTAAGGAAGATCGGTACTCTCTGCTTTATTTTCACCTGCGACAATACTTTGTTCCGGCAGAAGATCAGTAATGAGACCCTAATGCCTTGTTCCGTCAATATCTTTAATGAATCGAGGTGTATTTGTGATGTTCAGAAGCAGCGGCTGAAACGACATCGTCGGAACCCGCCATTGTTGGGCAGTGCCAGATGGGTTTTTAGCAGTGGTGATGGAAGAGAAAGAAGAGGAGAGAGAGAGAGAGAGAGAGAGAGATAGACAGACAGACAGAGAAATGCATAAATGAGGAGAGTTGTGTACATATATATAATATGGGTAGTTTCGTCATTTTGCACAACCATGTCCTTATGGACATAATTGTTTACCGCCTAGACTTTTCAACTAAAAGAATTCAAATTTGGATTTATAAACCGAATGCCCTAATCAAAATCATATAATTTTTCATGAGTTAGTAATTATTTTGAAAGAAAAACTACTGATTTGTAAATTCCCTATAAAAAAAAAAACCCTTTTGATGTGGCTCCTTTTCTAGTGCAACAACACTTGTAAGTATTTTCTTATGGTATACTATTTTTGTCAAACATTTGAAATAAATTTTACCATATATATTAGGAAATCAACTCTTCCTAATCAGAATCAATGAGAAACAAAATAGAAAGCAAAAAAATTAAAATGAATCGAAACAAACATACACACAAGAAACACAAAAATTTATCCCATAATAAGGCTACATCCATGGCCGCTGTGGTTTTCATTATGATCATAAAATAATTACAACTCTCTACAATAAAAGAAATGTCTCCCCTCATCTATTTATAAGTATAGAAATTAAGGTAATGCGGAAGCAGCAGGAAATTATCAAATATCCAAAAAATTCGAGCCTCGCTTCAACCCGCTATCACTTGAGAGAGGAATCCCAAACCCCCCATTGGACCTATAGCCCAGTGTACAATACTTATTAGGGTTCACAAACCCAACAATGTGTGTGAAAAATCTAGAAATTCCCTAGATGTTGATTTGTGATTATGTATCAATTTTAAGCAGAATATAACAATCCCAATCAAAAACCTAACAGTGTGCATATGATGAAGTGCATTACTCACATCACAAACCACCTGATTCATCTGATTCTTTCATATTGCTTATTCTTCGTTGAAAGGATTTATTAGGGAAATAACATGTGTACCTTACAATGTTAACTCTAATTTCCTCTCATATGGATCTTTACAGACCAATTATTTATACCTTGACGTCGTTGGAAAAGGAGAATGTAGTTCTTGAAAACAAGTTTTCCTTTCTAGGTTATTTGCCAATCTCTTGTGCTGATTTTCACATTTGCATTGCATTAGTTTTTTTCAGCCTTGTGTTTTAACATGGTTAAGCGTAATTTCAGATGATTTTAGGGTTTGGTGCGCGTATGTTGAGAATTAGTTCAGTAATTTTGTAAGACAAATGAATCATACATACAAGACACAACAAAGACTCACATGTCATCTGTACAACATTTTGCTAACTTGAATATTTGACAAATGTTCATAGAGACATTGGTGAACAAACAAGACATCCAATATGTAGTAAATGCATGTTTAGCCAAAACATGTTTAAACAAGCATATGTTGTGTTAAAACTTTTGCATCTGTAAGTAGCATGTTATTTATTGTTATTTCTAATATGTACTGATGCTTTTATTTTCATTTTATGAGTAAGCAAACTTTTTAGTCATCGACAAGTAGCATACCTCGTCAAAACAAAAGATATACATTCATTTAGCCAGTTACAAATCTGAGAGAGAGAGAGAGAGAGAGAGAATATTATATGATGTGTATATTCAATATTATGTTGAATAATAATGTAACAATATATACAAGACTCCTTTATATAGAAGAAGAGCAACCTAAGTATGGTAATCCTAAGTATGGTAATGAATATAATATGGTATATATGATAAACAAAATATATAGTTACTATATTTAACCCCTCCCCTCAAATTTAAATAGGGATACCAACTTGAGTTTGAAAAGAGAAATTAGAACATGAAATAAAACTAAAGATAAAATAAAACATGGATAGATCCGAGACATATAGATTGCAAAGTCCAGATGAGAGCACAGGGACGCTTGAGATAGATTAGAGCCCGGAGCTAATGCAAGCAGATAGTTTATGGTCGTGTCGAACTATTGTAGGAACATGGCTGAAGCTAATAAAGCTAATACCGAGAGACAGTTTATGGTCATGTCGGATCGTTATAGAAAAAGAACGTGTGTTGAACCAGCAAACGTGGCAACAGATGAAGAAGTATGCCAAGGGACGGCTTGGAAAGGAACCATGTGCACTAGGAGATGGCTTAGAAAGAAACAAAATATGCCAAGGGGGCGGCTTAGGTAGTGCACCAAGGGGACAACTTAGGGTAGTACGCCAAGGGGCAATTTAGGGACTGCGTTAGGGGGGCATTTGGTGCGCCAAGGGAAGGGCTTAGGTAGTGCACCAAGGGGGTGATTTGGGTGGTTTACATGGTGTATAACTATGCTCACCATGATATAGGCATAATACCCCCCTTAAACTCAAATAGGTTTGAAGATAGAAACTTATTTTAGGTTAAAGTAGAAGGAAAGACAGAGTGGAACAAAAGTACAAAAAAAAAAAAAATGTGGAACAAAAATAAAAAAAAAAAAAAAATTACGAGTTAAAAAAAAAAAGGATTGTGAGTAAAAAAAAAATAATAGAGATGTTTGGAGTAGGAATAAACCAGCAAATAGAGAAATAGATCACTACGAAGCAATACAGAAAGGAAAATATGGTAGCGGAATGGGTTGAGGTTCCGGCGGGCGGCCAAGGCAAGGTTGTCGCCCGCTGATAAGGCGAAGAATACCAAGAGCTTAACCTATAGCTCTAATACTATCTTACAATATATAAGAGAGAGAAAAAGATAATATTATATGATATGTATATTCAATATTATGTTAAATAATAATGTAACAGTGTATATAACACTCCTTTATATAGTAGGAGAGAAACATAAATATGGTAATCCTAAGTATAATAATGAAAGTAACGTGGTATGAATGATAGACAAAATGTGTAGTTATTATATTTAACATAGCGCTCAAGATTATCTATAAAATCCAAAAGATACTCTCTACCATTTAGTTACTAACCCTTAGAGACTCACATATACAAAAAAGTCAACAAACAAGATTTCAACATAGAAAGGGGTATCAAAAGACCTTCTATTCATTTCTCTCCATAAAATCCGCATCAAACAACATAGAGCCACTTTCCATGCTTTCCTTGTATAAATCTATTAGGGTTCATCAAAGCATGATAAAAAGAGTTGACTTCAAATTTCCTTGATTCAAATATATTCCACCTCATCATGTCATCTCTCCATTTTGAGTCATCATAGATTATACATTAAAGTGAAGTTGATAAAATAAAAGTCAAAAATTAAAAGAAAGGGTAAATCACATTGACACCCCTCTATTAATTTGAAATCATACACACCCCTTCTATTCTTTGAAATATCATGGAGCTCCCTTACTTTAAATTTTGTTATAAAACACAAACCCTTTCATGAGTTAACCGTTAGGAAAAATTCCTCAAGTGACCAACTTTTTTTTTTTTTGGCAATTTCTCCAATCATACGTCCCTCTATTTTCTCTTTACCTCCCTCACATAGAGGGTATCAAATGTATGCCTTCCACAATCTGAAGCTATGATTGAACCAGTGAAAAAAAATCTTCACGCTTTTCTCTCTTTACTACAACCCTTGATGATAGCTACAACAACTGTTTAATACTCATTTGATCAAACAAAGAGGTTGGAATACAAAGCCCTAGCCCAAAACCATCATTACAACCTCTAGAATGCTGGCAAATCCATCTTTTCACCTATCACTACCTCTATTGGATTGCACCAATCAACACTACCTCTCAACTCAAACCAACCCTTACACTCTTCAATACTTTTTTACCTACTATTCCATCTATTGTTCATCACCATTCACCTCATTCCACATTTGATCAATGAACAATCACAACCACCATCCAACATAAAATTCACCACCATAGAATCCCTCTATACGTAGATCCAAATGAGACGATGATTTTAACCAAAAAAATTGATTTAAGAGAAAACCTGTAGAGCAGTGGGAGATTAGAGAGGGAATAGCGCATTGGTAGTGATGGAGTGCAATGAAAGTACTTTGGCAGAGGTGTTGGTGGGAGTGGGATGTTCAAACCACTTATGTTGTTTCAAAAATAGATTTAGAGAAATAATTTATAATGCGAAAAACAAACTTTTATTTCACTTAGATAAACTGAAACAAATGCATGGAGATGAGAACAATTTCTCTCAAACTCTCACACTCTCTCACTTTCTTATTTTTCTTCTTAACTCCCACACTTATAAATAGCATAATCCTTACATATTTATAGCTAAACATTGATAATATGAATGCATTAAATAAACTACAATAAAACCATTCAAACTTGAACTTTTCAACCATCAAACCTATAGTAACATGTAGTAATCCTTGAACCCTAGTTTTCTGTATTTTTGCTCCTAACTTCTAGCTAGGATGGTGGAGAAGAAAGCTTATTTCATAACATCACCCCTTAAGCTTGATTGTCTACAATGCTTCATCCATTGTCTTTTTCTACAACATCAGTGTAAGACATGAGCAACATCACCTCTTCACTAATTGCAAAGTTTACTGACTCGTCAACTTTGTTGTATGTTACTTCCTCCATGCACTCATGACTATAGTGCCCATACTGATTGTAGTTATAACATTGGACCTCTTTTGTGTATTCACTATTGTAATGACCATACTCGTTGCAATTGTAGCACTGCACGTAGCTTCTGTCACAACCTCTTCATCTGTTGTTAACCCACTATTGACATCTTTCTTGCTAAACAACCATCTATTGTCATCTCTTGCCAACCATCTATTAACTTTTGTCTCTTGGAACAACCACTTGTTGTTCTGTGTTGTCAAACACCTGTTGACCTCTTCTGTTTCGCAGAACAACCGCCTGTTATCTATCTCGTGGAACAACTACTTGTTGTTCTCTGTTGCCAATCAATTGTTGACTTTTGCCCCCCCATGTTGGAGTCTCTTCCAACTTGTCTACGGTCTTTTCCTCCACTTCTCTATGGTGTTCCTATTATTGTTCTCCATTTCCTCTAAACGTCAACTTTGACTATAGAGCTTGCTCTAGGGAACTTGCGAAAGTTCTCTTGTTTATTCTTTGTTCTTCAAATAAGCTACACAAAATTTTCAAGTCTAAATTTTGAAAAAAAAGACTCTAGAAATAAACTCAGAAGGATCAGTTTAGCCAGGAACATATTTTGTAAAATTTTAGAATTTTTCAAGGTCTTAAATGAAAATATTCAACAATATCAAGGATATAAATTGAATTTTAAAAACTTTTGGGGCCAAAATGGAATTTCAAAAATTATTGGGTAGAATCGGACACAATCAGGTGGTTTAAGTATTGTGATTTGGAAATGGTACTAGGTGGAAGAGATAGTTGTTGAATGCATGACATTTTCTCCTCGTTGGTGCTTGGATTGATTGTTGTATTTGGCTATGATGTTTGCAAAAGTCATGATGATTTGAGCAGGGTCGGTTCTGGGTTAAGGCCAGTAAGACATGCGTCTAGGGTCTCAAAAATTAGGCGCAAGGAAAGATTCCTAAATTCATTAGTCTTGTACTATATTAAAAATTCAAAATAGCCCAATTTTGTTTTATTAATTTAGGCCAGTTTAAGGGCCTCAAAAAATTCTGTTAGGCCCAATTAAAAAATATTTATAAGTGTTAGATGTTAGCCCGATTGAAAAAATAAAATATAAAATAATTGTATATGTATTAGTCGTTAGTCCAAATCTATTTAGCTTTTTTTTTTATATTATTTATTTTTAAACTCTCTTTATGACTCAATTATGTGTTTTTTTAGTAATTTTTTAAAAATATTTTACGTAAATTTTTTTATTTTGTAAATATACCTAATTTAGATACATTTAAAATGCATAATGTTTGTGAATATTTTTTTTAAAAAAATTTACCAAATATATAAAAATACGAATTATAAACTCAAAAAATTATTTTTAAAAACTCTAAACTAAATAGAGTAATTTTTTTATTTTATTTTTTGAATATTTAAAAGGCTCCCAATTTTTTTGGTTGGGCTGAAAATTATCAAATCAGATAAAAGGCATTATAGTGCTTTTTCCATTTCATCAACGATGTTAGCAAATCGGGGTGCAAGCAGAGGTGGACAAACGTAGGGTCAGGTACGATTTGAATTGTGCTAATACTATATAATAATAAATTTTGTATCTATCCAATTTTAGCCCGGCCCTAAGGTCTCTATATTTGTCCTAAGTCCAGTCCAAAAAATAATTCTAAATCTCATACTTACCTATTGGGCTATACGTTAAAAAAAAATTAAAACATTTCATAATTAAAAAATGAGAAAATGGAAAATTTTCTTAATGCTATTGTTAAAAACGTTCTCTATACCAATGACTTTTTCTTTGCAATCAGAATTGGAAATAGAGCCACAGTATCCTTTATTTGAAGGCTGGAAGGCCACTTTTGTCATTGGATATGGACTACCATTGCAAGGCTTCCTTTTTGAGTGATCTGATGGTAGGCGTTACCTCAACTTCAGGTTTTGGATGTCCTCTTGTTGAGACAGTAGTAGACGAGTTGACCATCAAAGTGAGTACAGTTCTTTAAATTTGTATTTTTTTACATTTTTTTATTCCACTTATGTCTCTCTATGCTGGAATGGAAAATACAAATACTAAAGCAGGAACTGTTGTTTTTAGGTGATTCTGCCAGAGGGATCAAAACACGCTTCTGCTGTGGTTCCTTTTCCACTGCAACAACATCTAGAGGTAATTGTTATGGTATACCATTTTTGTCATCTTCAGAGACGTTTGAAATAATTTTTATCATGAGTGGATGTGTACTGTGTTCCTTCCCTTGATGTTGTTTTACTCATATCCCAAAACACCTGATTCATCTGATTGTTGCAGCGAAATTTCATGAGTGCAGACCAGTTGCTCATATCTTGACGTCATTGGAAACATTGTAGCAGTGGTGGTTCCTGGACACAAAGTCTACTTTCCAGGTGATTTACTAACTTATTGTGCTGATTTTCAGATTTGCCTTAGCATTAGTTCTTTTCGGCCTTGAGTTATAACAAGATTAAGGATAATTTTGGATGATTTTGAGGTTTGATGCATGTATGTTGAGAATTAGTTTAATTTTTTAAGACAAATGAAGCATACACACGAGACACAACAAGTACAGACGTTGTCGTTTGTACAACATTTGGGTAACTTGAATATTTAACAAATGTTCATAGAGACATTAGTGAACAAACAAGACATCTAATACGGCATGTTTATACAAAACATGTAAAAACAAGCTTATGTTATGTTTAAAATTTTATATCTTTATGTAGGCATGTTATTTACTGTTATTTCTAACAGCTACTGATTTATTATTTTTTAAATAACAAATAAAAAAAACTGCAAGACATAAATTAAAAAATAAAAAAATAAATAAAAAAAGCAAGAAAACTTAAAATATGAAGTCATCAAAGGGAATGTTACCTGTATACTTCCAAAACCACAAGCATACCTAGACAAAACAAAAGCTGGACATTCTTATAGCCATCAAAGTTCTCTAAAAAAATCCAAAAGATACTCAATCATCAAGTTACTAACACCCTTGCAGAACCAAATACACAAAAGAGTCAACAAACAATTTAGAAAGAGGTTTCTCCATCCCCATCAAAAGACTGTCAATTCCTTTCTGCCCATAAAATCCACATCAAACACAACAGAGCTACTTTCCATGGTTTTCTTCTACTCTTGCCATCTCACACCATTCCAGCAATGCATGGGTTAATTACCTTCCCTGGGAACAACCAATCAACTTCAAAAACTGATAAAACTAAAGTTTGGATTTTATTATATGCATCTTCCTTAATTAACAGTAATTTACTTGTGCAGAATCAGGGTAATCCAAGGATTTTATCACGGGTTGTTATCCGAACAAAGAAGGCAACCTTGCATGGTGGTTTAGACCTCAAAATTCCTTTCCAAGGAATAGATACACAGCCACCAAGCAAAGCATTGATAAAAGGACTCAATTTTCAACTTTTCTTGATCTAGACCTATTCAACCTACCCACCCAAAAAAGACCTATTCCGCCTTATGTCATTCCCACTTTCGAGTCTTAATAGACTATACAATAAACACCCAAAAAAAAATTAAAATTTTAGAGACTAAAATTTATAAATAAAATTATTTTTTAAAAATTAAATATTTTTGTTGTGTAAAGTTTTATTATATTTTTAGTAACGAAAATTGAACATTAGTGATGAATTATTATCTTTTTGAAACTAAATTTTTTGCCTCAAAAAATAAAATCATTTTGAGACTAAATTATTTTGTCCCTAAAAGTGTGTTTATTAGTGACATTTTCAAAATTTTGTCACTAAAAGTTTTATTTTTGACTTTTCGAGACGACCTTTTAGCGACTATCCTTACGACAATAGAAATTGATCCCTAAATGTCTTTTGCATCAAAAATTTTTCACTTTTAGAGACCAAAAAATTTGATTTCTAAAACTCTTATATGTTATAGTGAAAACAAAGCTTTAAATAATAATAATAATAATAATAATAATAATAATACTCTATCCATTCCAAAATATTAGTCCCTTATTTCATTTTTCATTATCCCAAAATATTAGTCCATTTTTCAAAAATCAAGGACTAAAATAATATAAATTTCCCATTTTACCTTTTTTTTTTTTAAATTCATTAACAACACAAAAAGTATAATTATGATAATTGATATTCCCAAAAAAAATGTATTATCAAAGGGTAATTTTAAAAAATTAAGGCTCTGTTTGGTAGAGCTTTGGAACTTTAGTTCCACCTTTTGGTTTGCACGTGATGTTTGGTTACAGTTTTCAAAAATTAATTTCACATTCACTTTTGAAAACTCTGTTCAAGGCAGGAAAATTTGGGCTAACTGATCGTCCTCCCGGACGTCCGGCCGGTTGACCGGAACAATACAATTTTTTATCTATTTATTTATTTATTTGTTTTTATTTTTTATTTTTTTACAATTGCCACATGTTATTTTTTATAATTTAAATAAAAAAAATTGGAATTTTTAATTTTTTTTTATGAGTTTTGAATAGAATTTTGAGTTGTGTGTTTGGTTATGAGTGATAAGTTTTTGTATAAAATATCATATGTTATATCAAAAATTTCCTACTCAATTCAAAACTCATTCACCAAACAAATTTTCTACACTTAAATCATAATTCCAAAACTCACAAACTCAAAATACAACTCTATTCTTAAATTATATTTAAAAAACTCTACCAAACGTTATTTAATATTTTTAAAGTATAATAATTATATTATCAAAAAAAAGTTAAATTCCTTAAAAGAAACAATTATTTTGAAATGAAAAGAGTTATAAAGAAAGAAAACCTATACAATAAAGTGAAAGAGTGATGCTCACATGGCACATTGTTAGTGGCTGAAGTCCAAAAAAAAAAAAAAAATTTTTTTTAGCCAATCAACAAGAACCCTAGCACCCTCACTGGCACCAAGGATCCTCTAGAGTGAAATTTTCCTAAAGTTTCCTAGAGTGTTATATTGAGTGGTTGAGATTTACTGGCAAGTCACATCAGAAAAATTGATGTGACTTACCAGTAAATCTCAACCACACAATGTAACACTCTAGGAAACTTTATAAAAAAATCACTCTAGAGGATCCTTACTCCCTCACTGGGAGTCCAACGCATTTTCACTTTTCCAAAGTGAAAAGAACCTCCAACCCCTCAAACTTCCAATCATGCCTCTTGTGCCCACCTAAAACAACACACTCCAAAATACCCTGCTCCACTCTAACCACAAAGAGTGTGCCACCGCTGCATTCCTATTCTTAGCAATCCCAAATAGGGACCAAAATCTCCCCTCCTTCCACAACCAAACTATCACACTCAAGATTTTGGCCTTAATTCAAGTTTTTTTGGGTCCACCTATTGAACTAAGCTAACCTCAGTCGCTGCTAGCTTATAATAAAGTAATCCTAACACTCTAAAATAAGTATTCTAAAAAATAAGAAAATTAAAACTGACTCAGAATAAAGAAACTAAAATGATTAGAAAACTATAAATTCTATATTAATTCAAATTTATTTTACTCGTGATTTTTAGCCTTTATCAATTTAATTTTTAGGACAAATTACCAACACCCCCTCGAGATTTGACTAAAATACAAATTCTCCTTAAGGTTTAAGAAATTACATCCCGCCCCCTAAGATTTATATTTGTATAACAAATTGTCTCCTGAGATTTATATTTGCATAACAAATTGCTCCTTTATTTGTTATGTAAATATAAATCTCAAGGGACGGGATGTAACTTCTCATACCTCAAGAGGAATCCGTATTTTAGTCAAATCTCGAGAGAGTGTTGGTAATTTGTCCTAATTTTTACTATAGTAAAATTTGAGTCCCTAATTCTAGGATCCCAAATTTTTTCCCAAAAAGATATGAGACAATTACTAGATGTATAGAGTTCATTTGGAATGTGAGTTAGTTTTTTGACTTTTTGATTTTTTTAACTGTTAACTTAGGATTAAAAAATCTCATTTGAAATTAACTTTTTTTTTTTACTTTTTTAACTTTTATAAAAAAACAAATAAAATAATTATAATTCAAATATAATATTTTTTAATCAAAAATTAAAAATTTTAGGTTGCGTTTGGTAGAGCTTTCTAAATATGATTTGAGAGTAGGAGTTGTATTTTGAGTTTGTGAGTTTTGGAATTATGATTTGAGTGTAGAAAATTTGTTTGGTAAAAGAGTTTTGAATTGAGTAGAAATTTTTTGATGTGACATATGATATTTGATAAAAAAACTTACAACTTATAATCAAATATACAACTCAAAATTCTATTAAAGCATATAAAAAAATTTAAAAATTCAGAAAATATATTTTTCGAATATATAAAAATTGACATATGTCAATTATAAAATAAAATAAAATAAAATAATAAAATAAATTGTACTGTTCTGGTCAATTGGCCGGACAACCGGTTAGGCTAAATATCAAAAAAAAAAAAAAAAAAAAATTGAAAATCGCCCCTCTATATGAGTTTTCTGCAGAGTTTTCTAAATGTTATGAAAATATACTTTGAACATCCTATCTAAACGTCATATTAAAATGTGAAGATAAAATCATTCCAAACACAAGCTTATTTTATTTTTTTTATAATTATTTTAGTCCCAACCCAATTGAACGTAACTTTTCCAACGAGTGCACAATAATTTGTACGGCATGGTTTGTAGTTATTGATCGGCAGTTGTGCACCAAACATGCGGACAATCTCGCTTTTACCTGGATCTCCTCAAAGATATTGGCCTTTGTGTGATTAGTTTTTTGGATAGTAATTTTAAAAACAAAAAATTAAAATTTTGTTTGGTTAAATAATTTTCGAAAAAAAATTTTAAAATTATTTTCTCTTTCTTACACATTAATCAATCATTTTTTTTTCTCTCATCTCTCATTCTCAATCACTTTTTCTCTCACACACATCTACTCAATTACAACAAAATATCAAATCATTTCAAACTCCCATATTCCAAAACTATTTCCAAAATATACAATCAGACAAACTAAAATTTTTTTTAAACTCTCTCTCCAAAATATTTTTTAAAAATTTATTTCTCAAAATCAAACCAAACATATCCATTCATTCTAAGATGAGACAAAGAATATTCATTAGCTGATGATTCTCCTGTCAGGATCAGTTATTATAATAATCGTCATTTCACACTTATACACATCTCGGTCAAGCCATCAAAAGACAACCTCAATGGTTACCCAAAAAGGTAGGTGGGCACCACTAGGCTGACCTGCCAGTAAGCACTATATAATGGCACTGTTTAGGAAGATGGTTTAAATATATATACATATATATTTTTTTAACCGCAACAAATAATACATCACATTTAATTCATAAGGTTTAAATATATATACATATATATTTTTTTAACCGCAACAAATAATACATCACATTTAATTCATAATAATTACACTATTTTCTTATAAAAAAAAATTAAAAAAATTAAAAAATAAAAAAATCATTCCCAAACCAAGCTTTTTAACCCAGACTAAAATAGTAAAAAAAGTTAAAAATCCAACAAATCAACTCACTTCCCAAACGAAGCCAATATATGTTATATTCTCTTGGTTTTAAAATATTAATTTTTATTTTATTTTTTATTATCTTAAAATATTATTTTTTTTAAAAAAAATTAAGGATTAAAATAGAGCGAATTACACTAACGGTCCTTATAATTTAGGACTTGTATCACTTTGATCCTAACTTTTTAATTGTAGCACATTTGATCATGAATTTTGAATTTTATTTCAAATAAAGACAAATGAAGATACCAGTACTCAATTTTAAGTACAAAATCATCAATTTGATAAAATATAAACTAATTTGATAAAAA